TCCCTACACTCCTCTTAAGAGGTACAGCCTGCTCTCTGCTAACATTACCAATGCTGTGAGAGGAGCCCGAATTCTTCGCTAGTGGGAGCGGAGAGCAGCCCCTTCATGCCTGTTCGTTCTGGGGTTGCATCTTGCTCTGGGGGGTGTCCTTGGAATGAGGCTCATGGGAAGCCAGAAATGCCAAGACAGAGGTCTTAAATGCCTGCAGTGGGTCAGAAAAGAGCCCGGGTGCTGTCAGTGGGCTGGGCTAGTACCACAAGCTGGGCCACCTTGGTGAGAGGAGGGATCATGGGGCCTGTTTCCAGAGCCAGGTCTCCGCCTGCTCAGCCCTGCTTCCTTACTGCTACAGCAGCAATTCCTCATGGGGCTGCCAGCCAGCTCCACGTACCCTCCGCTCTCTTCATTGCACTGTAGGATGGGACCCTAATTGCGACCGGCTCTGCTGACAGGAACGTGAAGATTTGGGGCTTGGATTTTGGGGACTGTCACCGCTCTCTCTTTGCCCATGACGACAGGTCAGTCAAATCCTACAGCATCTCTGGGCTGTGGGCTATCTTCTCTCCAAGGGGTTGGGTTCCGGCAGTAACTCTTTTGTCCAGGATGGAGGGGAGGTCTGCAGTGTTCCCCAGGTGGGTGAATTTGAACCTTTTTCCCTTTCAGTGTGATGTATCTGCAGTTTGTGGCGAAATCCCATCTCTTCTTCACAGCTGGGAAGGACAGCAAGATTAAGCAGTGGGATGCAGATAAATTTGAGCACATCCAGACACTGGAGGTAGGAAGTGTTGGAGACTGTTGACAGGAAGCATTATCCCTGCATGAGCAGCGCTTCCTTCGGGCTGGGAGCTGGGTGGTGTTCATGTCTCGCCTCTTCCGTTACCGTGCAGGGGCATCACCAGGAGGTGTGGTGTTTGGCACTCAGTCCCAACGGAGACTACGTAGTGTCGGCATCCCATGACAAATCCCTGCGCCTCTGGGAAAGGACGAGGGAGCCACTCGTATTGGAAGAGGAGAGGGAGATGGTGAGAGTTGCATCCTTCCTACCAAAGACAACTTCCAGACCTGTTTTCTCCCCAGCAGGCAGATTCCTCGTTTGTCGCTGTGGAAGCCTGGCTCCACAGCCGGCAGACGTGCTCCTTACTGCCTCCAGCCGGGTGCTGAGCTGCCCAGGCTTCACTGGCATCTTCTGCATCAGGGACTGTTGCCCTGAGCTGCCGGGAGACAGCGCTGCGGGTGCTGCCGGCGCTGGCCTGTCCGTGCTGCGTAGCAGATGCCTGGCTCACTTGCTTTCTGCTTTGCTTCTCTCTTGCTTCCCAGAGTTTCCTCTATGGCTGTGGTTTTCCGCATGTCTGTGGGCTACAGTCGTTGATCGTCTCTCGTCTCCTGTGCTCCTTTCAACTCAAGTGTGCTTTGGAGGCCGCTCTGCAGTGGTGGGGAGCGCTGCTCCTGTTAAATCCAGTCTGTCTTGGTTTCCCCTTTTCCAACCCTAAGAGGTCCGTTCTATCTCAGTAGCAGGCCCCAGAGCTCAGGGATGCTGGAAGAACCCCTTCTACTCCGTTTGAGCATGTATTGTGAGGAATTGGACTCAGGAGGGCTTCAGTAGGGAGGGAACTCTGGGGGTCTCTCATCTAGCCCCTTGCTCACTGCAGGGTAACCCAGAAGCTGTATCGGGCTGCTCCAAGACTTGTCTTGATACATGAATGTCTCCAAGGAAGCAAATTTTCCAGGCTGTCTGAGCACCTGTTCCAGTGCTGAATCACCATTGGGGTTGGCAAACATGTTTGTTTCACATACAGAATCATAGAATCACAGGA